ACGTATCGATGCTATGTCGATGCACCGTGGTTATTTCGCAACAGTAATAGGAAATACTTTGTCGTTCTAGTATTACAGCATCCGTGACCGAGTACATTTATTCATTCAATTTCCGTTACCTAATTCGATGACTAAATTCTCAAACGTCGACGGAGCTCATATCGAATCCATACTCTAAAATAGTGTAAACAGTGGTGAGTAACACAAACAAAAACGTCTTTCAAAAACTAAACATTTAAAAATAGAAATTTAAAAAATTTTCAAGGTACAATGATTTCTAATCAGACGAAAATCAATCTATTTTAATAAACTATCGGTGAGTTATTTATTTAAGACTGCTCGAGCCTCAGAAACAATAATAATCGTTACGAAGAACAGAACGTCGAGGCATAGCGTGCTCGTAGAAACGCGTTGCACGAAATCACAGCTATTGCCAAATGTCAGAAATCGTTTATGCTCCAAATACTGAAAAATGACAGAAATCAAACGCGTTCATGCATTACCACTTTCTCTAAAACGTTTTGCACACACGATCGAGACAGTACAATATCGATGGCATTCTCTGATAAACCATTAAATAGTAAATTGTAGTAAGAAAGCAATTCGCTCCATTTCAAAATCATCGATCATTTTCAACGAATCCCATATTTTATAAAATTGTTACGTAAACAGAGGAATAGAAGAATATTTATCGAAGAACTCATGTTCCACAATTTCTATCAAAAAAAAAAATATAATTGTTTCACTTATTTTTTTATAAAGAATAATTACTAAGATTGTAACAAAGTTCTGTGTTGAGAAATGTATAATTATTCAATTCTCCATCGACATGCAATCCCGAACTTTCGATTTTTTTTAACCATAAGTACAAGCTATAGAGAAAGTTTCAATGTTCCAAACTTTCGAACCTGATAGCTCCCTTTCTCGTTTCATATTTTTTTTTGTAACGCGTGTTTTTTCACTAAGAGTACTGGGTTTTCTTTTTATTTAATATCACACTACTTTCTTCGATTGAAGTTTGAGGAGTATTCTAATCTTCTATCGAGAGTAGATTGGTGAAATTTCCGGGAATCCAATCGTGCCAAGGAATAACCATTTTTTTTTATCGCGCGATAATTAAATGGATCTCGAAAACATGCATTTACATATTATGACATTTGAGGATAAAAAAGAGGAAGATTAACACGTATCTGTACGCGTCGAAAAAAACCTAAGTATCTCATATGTCGTGGATAAATATCACGTTACAGCATCGTACGCAGAACAGTAACCTTATGTTTTCCCCCGGTGTGGATAATTAGGTGAATAAAAAGCGAAGTAAAGGTCGTCGAATGAAACTCTAATTGATATTTTCGTTCCATGAATTAAAAACATAACTAAACACGACTGTCGTGTATTAAGGTCAAAAGGGTAGAAAAATTAAAATGACCTTGACGACCTTCGATATGACCTTGAAAGAATTTTTCTAAATAACACGAAAATTAAACAATGTATGCGAAATATACGATTGTAGATGTATTATAGTAATTATTAACAGTCGAGTTAATAATTTTTTAAATTTCCTCGTTTAAACATTACGTAAGAGATATAACGCGATATGACCTTGAAAGAATTTTTCTAAATAATACGAAAATTAAACAATGTATGCGAAATATACGATTGTAGATGTATTATAGTAATTATTAACAGTCGAGTTAATAATTTTTTAAATTTCCTCGTTTAAACATTACGTAAGAGATATAACGCGATATGACCTTGAAAGAATTTTTCTAAATAATACGAAAATTAAACAATGTATGCGAAATATACGATTGTAGATGTATTATAGTAATTATTAACAGTCGAGTTAATAATTTTTTAAATTTCCTCGTTTAAACATTACGTAAGAGATATAACGCGATATGACCTTGAAAGAATTTTTCTAAATAATACGAAAATTAAACAATGTATGCGAAATATACGATTGTAGATGTATTATAGTAATTATTAACAGTCGAGTTAATAATTTTTTAAATTTCCTCGTTTAAACATTACGTAAGAGATATAAGGCGATATGACCTTGAAAGAATTTTTCTAAATAATACGAAAATTAAACAATGTATGCGAAATATACGATTGTAGATGTATTATAGTAATTATTAACAGTTGAGTTAATAATTTTTTAAATTTCCTCGTTTAAACATTACGTAAGAGATATAAGGCGATATGACCTTGAAAGAATTTTTCTAAATAATACGAAAATTAAACAATGTATGCGAAATATACGATTGTAGATGTATTATAGTAATTATTAACAGTCGAGTTAATAATTTTTTAAATTTCCTCGTTTAAACATTACGTAAGAGATATAACGCGATATGACCTTGAAAGAATTTTTCTAAATAATACGAAAATTAAACAATGTATGCGAAATATACGATTGTAGATGTATTATAGTAATTATTAACAGTCGAGTTAATAATTTTTTAAATTTCCTCGTTTAAACATTACGTAAGAGATATAACGCGATATGACCTTGAAAGAATTTTTCTAAATAATACGAAAATTAAACAATGTATGCGAAATATACGATTGTAGATGCATTATAGTAATTATTAACAGTTGAGTTAATAATTTTTTAAATTTCCTCGTTTAAACATTACGTAAGAGATATAAGGCGATATATTATCAGGAGAAAAGTGTATGTTGTTACTTTCTCAGACGCGGAACTATCTAGGACGTGAATAAACACTAAGTACTTGTGCTAATAAGTAGTGAAAGTGTATGGTGCTACCAGTTTTCGTAATTCTTCTTTTTCCCTTAAATTCTATCCGCTGTTTCGTTTTGCTAAACTTTTAACCCCGTTCGTTTCTCTCGCGTCCAATGAATATGAAATTACTTCGTGTCGCGACCAAATTATCTCCACTTTCGATCTTTAATATTACGAAAAATGATTAATTTTGTCAGAAGAATTGATAATTGGTAATTAACGAATGATATAAAAATTAGAAAATGTTAGAAAAGAAATTACTTAGTGTCGCGACGAAATTATCTCCACTTTCGATCTTCGATATTATGAAAAATTATTAATTTTGTTAGAAGAATTGATAATTGGTAATTATCGAATAATATAAAAATTAGAAAATGTTAGAAAAGAAATTACTTAGTGTCGCGACGAAATTATCTCCACTTTCGATCTTCGATATTATGAAAAATTATTAATTTTGTTAGAAGAATTGATAATTGGTAATTATCGAATAATATAAAAATTAGAAAATGTTAGAAAAGAAATTACTTAGTGTCGCGACGAAATTATCTCCACTTTCGATCTTCGATATTATGAAAAATTATTAATTTTGTTAGAAGAATTGATAATTGGTAATTAACGAATAATATAAAAATTAGAAAATGTTAGAAAAGAAATTACTTAGTGTCGCGACGAAATTATCTCCACTTTCGATCTTTCATATTAGGAAAAATTATTAATTTTGTTAGAAGAATTGATAATTGGTAATTATCGAATGATATAAAAATTAGAAAATATTAGAAAAGAAATTACTTAGTGTCGCGACGAAATTATCTCCACTTTCGATCTTCGATATTATGAAAAATTATTAATTTTGTTAGAAGAATTGATAATTGGTAATTATCGAATGATATAAAAATTAGAAAATGTTAGAAAAGAAATTACTTAGTGTCGCGACGAAATTATCTCCACTTTCGATCTTCGATATTATGAAAAATTATTAATTTTGTTAGAAGAATTGATAATTGGTAATTAACGAATGATATAAAAATTAGAAAATGTTAGAAAAGTTGAGTAAAAATGACTGTTTCGATAAATTTTGCGTACGAGATTTATGGACGATACGTTATGGCTGCTGCACGTTTATTGGACAATCCTCGATGATGGTAATGACGTAATCGGTGGCCCTAAAAGACGGTTACGTAATATAAACCACGAACAACTTTCTTTTTCATAACGAAAGTACGGATAAAGACGTTGATATCATTCAGAAATAACCGCGTGACGATCCTAATTTACTGTTATAGTTATCTCTCTAACAATCACTGAAGAATTCACCAAAATATATTTAATGATATTAATAAACGTTGTTCTTGAATTACTGGATTTAAAAAATAAATAAAAATGAAGTCAAATAAAGCATATTTATTAAATTTAGTATTTATAGAGCAAATATTTGTATTAATAAAGAAATATATTCAATGATAATAATAAATGTCGTCCTTGAAAAACTGGATTTCAAAAATAAATAAAAACAAAGTCAAATAAAGAATATTTACTAAATTTAGTATTTTTACAGCAAATATTTGGATTAATAACAAAATATATTCAATGATAATAATGAATGATTTTCTCAAATTACTGGATTTAAAAAGTAAATAAAAATTGAATTAAATAAAATATATTTACTAAATTTAGTATTTGTATTGTTATTAAATGACTGAATTTTAAACAAATAAATAATAGTGAAGTCAGATAAATAAAAATAAAATCAAATAAAGTATATTTACTAAATTTAATATTTTTATTAATAAATATATATATATATATAATGATAATAATGAATGCCATTCTTAAATAACTGGATTTAAAAAATAAATAAAAACGAAGTCAAATTTTAGTATTCGTATTAATTATTAATAAAAAAATATATTCAATGATAATAATGAATGTCGTTCTGAAATTACTGAATTTAAAAAATAAATAAAAACGAAGTCAAATAAATTTAGTATTTGTACAGCAAATATTTGTATTAATAAAAAACTATATTCAACGATAATAATGAATGCCATTCTCAAATAACTAAATTTAAAAAATAAATAAAAATAAAATCAAATAAAGTATACTTATTCTGAAACAGCAAATATTTGTATTAATAAAAAACTATATTTAACAATAATAATGAATGATAATAATGATTCTCGAATAACTTTGATTTAAAAAATAAATAGAATCTAATAAATTTATTAATAATTGTTTCTTGTTTATGTTTCAGAGGACGACGACCCAGCAATCAACAAATAACAGAAACGAATACTACAATTAATTATTCCCCTGAGAAAAATCGAAAATAAATCCAGTCTCCATCAAAAGTAAATCATTGAGATTTCAAGAGATCGCATGGATCCTCCGAAACAATGTTCGGAGAAGTGACGTGAGCGATACTTTCCAAACGTAACACATCGTAGATAATCCGTGACGAGGTTTCTACGGTGCATCGACGACAAACGGAGCACGGAATATCCAAAAAAAAAAGAGCTAATTAACTAATCACGTCTTTGATAACGAAACGCAGACACTATCGAGAGACTTTGGCAGAAAGGAACGGTTATGAGTCGATCAAACAGCGAAGATAATTGAAAGAGAATTGGAATTTGTGTTGTTCTCGCGGCGATAGACTACTGGAGATATCAAAATGAAGTTCATAGGGTCTTTGTTCGGGATCAAATCGCCCAAAACGATGGGCAAACAGTATATGAAGGTTGGAAGAACTGCTCTTTTTGGTCCGAGGACCGATCAACACGACAGTTTGTGCAGCGATCAAGTCCCGAAACCTCTGTCGTTCCTCATCTCCAAGAATGGGAAGCTCAAACACGGTACGTTGATCAATATTTCCAAAAAAAAAAACTTTAACACGTTGACTGCCAGTCTAAAATTGTTTAGAAGACCAAAGCTTTGAGTTTAGTCAATTGCAAACTACACAAAAATAACGTTACACGTTGACTGTCAGTCTAAAATCCTAAAATTGTTTACAAGACCAAAACTTTGAGTTTAGTCAACTGTAAACTACTTAAAAGTTGTCCTAGTAACGTTCGTAACTCCATTAAAACATATGAAGCCTATTAAAGATTATTTTCTTTAACATTTCAACTTGAGAATAAATTGTTTTAGTTCCACTTTTAAAAGTTCTATCATCCATATATGACGTGGCAGTCAAAGTGTTAAACGATGCATTTGTGATTATTAGAATTTTTTTTTCTAATCTCGTTTGTGATTATTAGGATTTTTTTCTAATCTCATTTGTGATTATTAGGATTTTTCTCTGATCTCGTTTGTGATTATTGGGATTTTTTTTTCTAATCTTGTTTGTGCTTATTTGATTTGATTTTTTTTCTAATCTCGTTTGTGATTATTAGGATTTTTTCTAATCTCGTTTGTGATTATTAAGATTTTTTTCTAATCTCGTTTGTGCTCATTTGATTTGATTTTTTTCTAACCTCGTTTGTGATTATTAGGATTTTTCCCCCTAATCTCGTTTGCGATTATTAGGATTTTTCCCCCTAATCTCGTTTGTGATTATTAGGATTTTTTCCCATAATCTCGTTTGTGCTTATTTGATTTGATTTTTTTTCTAATCTCGTTTGTGATTATTAGAATTTTTTTCTAATCTCGTTTGTGATTATTAGGATTTTTCCCCCTAATCTCGTATATGATTATTAGGATTTGCCCCCTAATCTCGTTTGTGATTATTAGGATCTTCCCCCTAATCTCGTTTGCGATTATCAGAATTTTTTTCTAATCTCGTTTGTGATTATTAGGATTTTTTTCTAATCTCGTTTGTGATTATCAGGATTTTTTCCCCTAATCTCGTTTGTGATTATTAGGATTTTTCCCCCTAATCTCGTTTGTGATTATTAGGATTTTTTTCTAATCTTGTTTGTGATTATTAGGATTTTTTCTAATCACGTTTGTGATTATTAGGATTTTTCCCCCTAATCTCGTTTGTGATTATTAGGATTTCTCCCCCTAATCTCGTTTGTGATTATTAGGATTTTTTCCTAATCTCGTTTGTGATTATTAGGATTTTTCTCTGATCTCGTTTGTGATTATTAGGATTTTTTTCTAATCTCGTTTGTGCTTATTTGATTTGATTTTTTTTCTAATCTCGTTTGTGATTATTAGAATTTTTTCCTGATCTCGTTTGTGATTATTAGGATTTTTTTTCTAATCTCGTTTGTGCTTATTTGATTTGATTTTTTTGCTAATCTCGTTTGTGATTATTATGATTTTTTTTCTAATCTCGTTTGTGATTATTTGATTTGATTTTTTTTCTAATCTCGCCACTTTCTACTCCCGATTAATTGGTGGAAGGATATATGTAAATGCGTCTAATTAAAGAAGAAATTTCTACGGGCGTACGAAAATCTTTAAATCTACTATTTCCATTTAGAAAATCGCGATCTGGCTTCCTTGTTTCTAGCTCGAAAACAGGAAGAAATTCTTAGCTCCGTTGGAGAAACTTGAATTATTATAAGTAGTTCTCGTTTTCTCCATTATAAGGAATGCACCTGTTAGCTGGTTTCTGTTCAAATGCTCGTTCAATCAGCTCGACTACCGGATATCACTGTTTCAATGAACTTGAAATTAATAGCATATTTAAATCTCCCTAAATATTTTTTTTTTTTTAGTAATTAAAGCTACACGTAAACTTGGCTTGTTTTCCTTCAATTACAAGTTATAGTAATTCTCATTGTAATTATTAATATTGTAGTTTATACTATTTAGTATATTCAAATTTCTCAAATTGGAAATTAATAAACTTTTTTTTTTTTTGGTAATTAAAGTGATACGTAAATTTTTATATAAACTTGGCTTGTTTTCTTGTAATTACAGGTTATAGTAATTCCCATTGTAATTATTAATATTGTAATTTATACTATTTAGTATATTTAAATTTCATAAATAAGAAATTAATAAACTTTTTTTTCTTTTGGTAATTAAAGTGATAAATTTTGATTCGAGCTTGACTTATTTACTCGTAATTATTGTATTATTAGTATTGTGGTTAATATTATGTGCAATGCGAGAAATTTATTAAATTGTTCCTGGTCGACTGTGATTTTTATCTGAATTTCATTTTAGGAAAAGTTTAGTTTCTCTTGTTCAATAATGTATCCGCGCGTTAATAAAAAGTTAGTAAAGTTTCCATGGTTTTCAGTGCCTGCAACACGAAAATGTTTAACAGGAAGCGAGAATACGAATTTCCTTCCGAGGAAATAAATCTTGCTCGGTTGCTAGTTGGCGACGGGCAGTTAACAGACTGAAAATGGAAAAAAGCATTACCGAATGTGAGAAACGAAACATTTCCTGATAGAGAATTTGGATAAACATCAAACTAAAATTATATTAACATGATATTAATAATACTCGTATATTACCTGTAATTAATTCGAGAATAAATAATAAAAGTAAAGTAGTATATTATATTTTACTATTTAATTTATTACGATACAAATATTTTCAATATTCTTCGAATAAAAAATTCTTCTGAGAAATATTTTATTTTCAAAAGTAGATGAATATTTATACACTATTATTAATTAAAATGGAATTATAACCAGTTTTAATAGTACTTGAAAATGTACTTCCCTGGGAAAAATTTTAATGGGAGATTCTAGAGGCCAAAATAAGAGAAAAATCAAAAATATCAATTTGTTGAGGCTTCGTTAAAAAGTTATTAAAAAATTAAATTAAAAAATTTCAAATCATTTTGAAAAAATTATTTTCAGTTGCAGCGGTCAATTATAGTAATTTTTGGTCATTAGACATACCCTCGAAATTTTACCCAGTTTCGAGAAAAAAATTCGAGAATGTGTGGAATTTTTCGACAAAATTAAAAAATTTCAAATCGTTCTGGAAAAATTATTTTCGGTTGCAGGGGTCAATTACAATAATTTTTGGTCATTAGACATACCCTCGAAATTTTACCCAGTTTCGAGAAAAAAATTCGAGAATGTGTGGAATTTTTCGACAAAATTAAAAAATTTCAAATCGTTCTGGAAAAATTATTTTCGGTTGCAGGGGTCAATTACAATAATTTTTGGTCATTAGACATACTCTCGAATTCCTATCCAATTTCGAGAAAAAAATTCGAGTAGGTGTGAAATTTTCAAATTTAAAAAAAATTTTAAATCGTTCTGGAAAAATTAGTTTCGGTTGCAGGGGTCAATTACAATAATTTTTGGTCATTAGACATACTCTCGAATTCCTATCCAATTTCGAGAAAAAAATTCGAGTAGGTGTGAAATTTTCAAATTTAAAAAAAATTTTAAATCGTTCTGGAAAAATTAGTTTCGGTTGCAGGGGTCAATTACAATCATTTTTGGTCATTAGACATACCCCCGAATTCCTATGAGCTTTCGAGAAAAAAATTCTTTACCGAAAAATTAATTTCTGGTCAGAAATCGTTCCTAGAAATTCCATGCGTATCTTTAAAACGACATAACTTTTGAACGAATTGGGCGATTTTAATGTTTAAAAATGCAAATGATGCGTATTTTAGTGGAGAATATGTAGGAATTCAGAAAATATCCGAAAAGTTGATCCTTGACCCCGCAAAATGAGAAAAACCGCATAAAAATGGTCCAAATTTCAAACAGCCATAACTCCTACAATAGTGAATATATTTCAATGAAACTTTGTTCTGAAGTAGAGCTCATTGGTACCTACAGAAAAGTATTAGACAAAATTTCCGTAGCGCGTCAAACAAATTTATTAAAAATGAAAAACGAATTCTCAAGAAAAATCGACAGGGAAATACAGGAGAAAATAAAAAATTTCAAATCATTCTAAAAAAATTATTTTCGGTTACTGGTGTCAATTATAATCATTTTTGGTGAATACACATAACCCCGAAATTCTACGTATTTCTGAGAAAAAAATTCAGGAAGGTAATCAAATTTTTCAGCGAATTTGAAAAATTTCAAATCGTTTTAAAAAAATTATTTTTAGTTACTGGGGTCAATTACAATTATTTTTGGTGAATACACATAACCCCGAAATCCTACGCATTTCCGAGAAAAAAAATTCTGAAAAGTAGCTAAATTTTTCGGCAAAAAAAAAAATTCCAAATCGTTTTGAAAAAATTATTTTCGAATACAGGGGTCAATTACAATCATTTTTGGCGAATACACATAATCCCGAAATTCTACGCATTTCCGAGAAAAAAATTCAGGAAGCTAAACAAATTTTTCGACGAATTTGAAAAATTTCAAATCGTCCTAAAAAAATTATTTTCGGTTACTAGGGTCAGTTACAATCATTTTTGGTGAATACACATAACCCCGAAATCCTACGCATTTCCGAGAAAAAAATTCTTTACCGAAAATATACCCTGTGGCCGGAAATGTTTTTATAACTTTTTAACGAAGCCCCAATCAACAAATTAGTATCCTTGATTTTCGTCTTATTTTGGCCTCTACAATCTCCCATTATAATTTTTCCCTGCATATTACCAGTAATTAATTCGAAAATAAAAAATAAAACAGCAAAAAAACTTAGAATATATTTAATTCTTTAATTTATTACAACAAAAATATTTTATACTACGATGCAAATTTATCCAATAACCTTCGAATAAAAAATACTATTTTAAAGTACCAACAAAGACAATATTTCATTTCCAAAAGTGGATCAACAACATGAAATAAAATATTGAATTACTTTTTACCAATAAAAATAGTAAAATAATCAAATATTCTATTTTCCAAGCTAGATATACGATATAAAATAAAATATTCTATCTTTAAACATAGATGAATGAAATGAAATGAAATATTCATTGACTATTATTAATCAAAATAGAATTTTTAGCTAT